ATAATAAGAAGCTACAATAATAAGAAGCTACAATAATACAATAATAAGAAACTACAATAATAAGAAGCTACAATAAGAAGAAACTACAATAATACAATAATAAGAAGCTACAATAATAAGAAGCTACAATAATAAGAAACTACAATAATACAATAATAAGAAGCTACAATAATAAGAAGCTACAATAATAAGAAGCTACAATAATAAGAAACTACAATAATAAGAAGCTACAATAATACAATAATAAGAAGCTACAATAATAAGAAACTACAATAATAAGAAGCTACAATAATACAATAATAAGAAGCTACAATAAGAAGAAGCTACAATAAGAAGAAGCTACAATAAGAAGAAGCTACAATAATAAGAAACTACAATAATAAGAAACTACAATAAGAAGAAGCTACAATAAGAAGAAGCTACAATAAGAAGAAGCTACAATAAGAAGAAACTACAATAATAAGAAGCTACAATAATAAGAAGCTACAATAATAAGAAACTACAATAATACAATAATAAGAAACTACAATAATAAGAAGCTACAATAATAAGAAACTACAATAATAAGAAACTACAATAATACAATAATAAGAAGCTACAATAATAAGAAGCTACAATAATAAGAAACTACAATAATAAGAAGCTACAATAATACAATAATAAGAAGCTACAATAATAAGAAACTACAATAATAAGAAACTACAATAATAAGAAGCTACAATAATAAGAAACTACAATAATACAATAATAAGAAGCTACAATAATAAGAAACTACAATAATAAGAAGCTACAATAATAAGAAACTACAATAATAAGAAACTACAATAATAAGAAGCTACAATAATAAGAAGCTACAGTAATAAGTAACTACAATAATACAATAATAAGAAACTACAATAATAAGAAACTACAATAATAAGAAGCTACAATAAGAAGAAGCTACAATAATAAGAAGCTACAATAATAAGAAGCTACAATAATACAATAATAAGAAGCTACAATAATACAATAATAAGAAGCTACAATAATAAGAAACTACAATAATAAGAAACTACAATAATAAGAAGCTACAATAAGAAGAAGCTACAATAAGAAGAAGCTACAATAAGAAGAAGCTACAATAAGAAGAAGCTACAATAATAAGAAACTACAATAATACAATAATAAGAAACTACAATAATAAGAAGCTACAATAATAAGAAACTACAATAATAAGAAACTACAATAATACAATAATAAGAAGCTACAATAATAAGAAACTACAATAATACAATAATAAGAAGCTACAATAATAAGAAGCTACAATAATAAGAAACTACAATAATACAATAATAAGAAGCTACAATAATAAGAAACTACAATAATAAGAAACTACAATAATACAATAATAAGAAGCTACAATAATAAGAAGCTACAATAATACAATAATAAGAAACTACAATAATAAGAAACTACAATAATAAGAAACTACAATAATAAGAAGCTACAATAATAAGAAGCTACAATAAGAAGAAGCTACAATAATAAGAAGCTACAATAATAATAAGCTACAATAATAAGAAGCTACAATAATAAGAAACTACAATAATAAGAAACTACAATAATACAATAATAAGAAGCTACAATAAGAAGAAACTACAATAATACAATAATAAGAAACTACAATAATAAGAAACTACAATAATACAATACTAAGAAGCTACAATAATAAGAAACTACAATAATAAGAAACTACAATAATACAATAATAAGAAACTACAATAATACAATAATAAGAAACTACAATAATAAGAAACTACAATAATAAGAAGCTACAATAATACAATAATAAGAAGCTACAATAATAAGAAACTACAATAATAAGAAGCTACAATAATAAGAAGCTACAGTAATAAGTAACTACAATAATACAATAATAAGAAACTACAATAATAAGAAACTACAATAATAAGAAGCTACAATAATAAAAGCCAATAATAAGAAGCTACAATAATAAGAAGCTACAATAATAAGAAGCTACAATAATAAGAAACTACAATAATAAGAAGCTACAATAATACAATAATAAGAAGCTACAATAATAAGAAACTACAATAATAAGAAGCTACAATAAGAAGAAGCTACAATAATAAGAAGCTACAATAATAAGAAACTACAATAATACAATAATAAGAAACTACAATAATAAGAAGCTACAATAATAAGAAACTACAATAATAAGAAACTACAATAATACAATAATAAGAAGCTACAATAATAAGAAACTACAATAATAAGAAACTACAATAATACAATAATAAGAAGCTACAATAATAAGAAGCTACAATAATAAGAAACTACAATAATAAGAAACTACAATAATACAATAATAAGAAGCTACAATAATAAGAAGCTACAATAATACAATAATAAGAAACTACAATAATAAGAAACTACAATAATAAGAAACTACAATAATAAGAAGCTACAATAATAAGAAGCTACAATAAGAAGAAGCTACAATAATAAGAAGCTACAATAATAATAAACTACAATAATAAGAAGCTACAATAATAAGAAGCTACAATAATAAGAAACTACAATAATAAGAAACTACAATAATACAATAATAAGAAGCTACAATAATAAGAAACTACAATAATACAATAATAAGAAACTACAATAATAAGAAACTACAATAATACAATAATAAGAAGCTACAATAATAAGAAACTACAATAATACAATAATAAGAAACTACAATAATAAGAAGCTACAATAATAAGAAGCTACAATAATAAGAAACTAAAATAATAAGAAGCTACAATAATACAATAATAAGAAGCTACAATAATAAGAAACTACAATAATAAGAAACTACAATAATACAATAATAAGAAACTACAATAATAAGAAGCTACACTAATAAGAAACTACAATAATAAGAAACTACAATAATAAGAAACTACAATAATAAGAAGCTACACTAATAAGAAACTACACTAATAAGAAACTACAATAATAAGAAGCTACAATAATAAAATAATAAGAAGTCACACACAAACAGACACACACACACACACAGACACACACACACACACACACACACACACAGACACACACACAGACACACACACACACACACACACACACACACACACACACACACACAGACACACACACAAAAAAAAAAAACACAAACAACACAGACACACACACAGACACAGACACAGACACAGACACAGACACACACAGATGTCAATAGACCAGCAGCGGTGGAGGGGGACCCACTTTGGAACTGGATTAGAGATCAGAAGATCAGATTAAATATATATATAATAATATATAATAAACAACCCAAATGGTAGTTACACGCTCCCCACCCACCCCCCTGCTGGTCATGTGACTAATGTGTCACTCTCTTTCTGGATTTCATTGTTTTCTTACTTTAAAACGGTCAATAAATTGGATTGTTTAATGGCACGTCTACAGTACCGTTATTCTAAACGTGATTGTAATTTATGTTAACAACAGTAACATATAGAACCTTTATGTGTCACTGGTTCTGCATAAAAATATTACTGAGAACCAAATGTACAGAGGGTCTGTAAACATGATGGCCATGTACCCTGTACTTTTATTTTTAGACACAAACACAGCAAAGAGAGTCAACAAACAGCTTCAGTGTGTGTGAGATCCGGTTTGAGCTACTACTGTTTTATCAGATGCCCGATACTGTACACGTGAACACTTCCCCCGACTGCAGCTACACACTGAATATAAAGAGAGAGAGATTATCACGGGCAAAATAACTCAGTAGAAAGATATTGTGATATCTATACCAATATTTAATATTAATTCATTTATTTGTTTTAGATTAGTTATTTCTTGAATGTAAGTCTTTTCCCCACAAAAAGTGAATAGATTATTTTCCTGCATGTTTTTGCTCAGGTCAGAGGTGGGAATTTTAAGTTTGTTTAAGAAACCTCTAATCTGTTCTTTTAAGAAGAAACCACATTTCTTGAAACAACTTTTCTGTAAACAATAATAATCTGTATGATTAAAATGTGTTCCTTACATCCCACGATGGCGCACACAGACTCATCATCTCTCCTCAGTAACAGGAAGCATCTGGCAGACAGGGCTGAAGTTTAGCACTGAGGTCAGAGGGATTATGGGAGATTACAGGTGAATGGAAGTGTGATTGGTTTGACGGACCAATAATATTAACGAGGACTGATTTATAAAAGGGTTGAACTCCTGGTTCACTCTACCCTTAATAAATCCAAGGGAGACTTGGTGGATTTGATCACAAATTGACCCCTCTTAAGTCCCTAACATATATGTGAGCAAAACACTAGCTGCCGATTGATGTAGCCTAAATAACCCTAACACAGTGAGCACTGACAGTGAATAACACTGATTATCTGGTTATCAGGGCTCCTGTCAGTGGTGGTTGTGGTGGTGAGGGGGGAGGTGGTATATCAGGCAGCAAGTTAACATTTGGTGCTCAGAGTTGATGTGTTGAAGCAGGAAAAATGGGCAGCGTGAGGATCTGCAGCTCTTGGGGGTGTTCCCGGTCTGCAGAGGTCAGTACCTATCAAAAGTGGCCCAAGGAAGGAGGCCAAGGCTCAGTGACTGTCTGGGACCAGTCAGGGAGTCCAGTGCTCCGTGTTACTGCTGACTGGTGGATATAGTCACATCTTAGCAAAGTAATTACTATCTAACTAGCTAATTAATCTACATCAATCATTAGTTGGCTAGTTGTGAAGGTGAAACGTGAAAGCTAATTTTAGCAGAACACTAACTAGTTAGCTAATCTATATCAAGTGTGAGCCAAAAAGCTAGCATTTGCTACACAGAAGAACACTAACTAGCTAATTAATCAACATCAACCAGTAGCAATGTAGATATTTCTTGAAGCTTATGTTAGCAAAATTTTAGCTAACTAACATTTGATGCAAGACGATACATTTTCAAGTCGTACTTGTTGCAATAATATAAACCAAAAAACACAAAAATACTCATCAAAACCTTTAATTGCCAAGCTGGACATTAAATAGAAAAATGCATAGCTGTTTATGTAACAAATACAGTATTTTTCACAGAAATGTCATCGACCACATTATTAAAGATTTTCTTTAATTTCTCAGACTTTATATTTAAGACTTTTTATGTCTGGATGGATGAAAATCCGTCTTTTACTCTTTTCTTTCTTTTAAGTTCAGGATAATCGAGCTACAGTTCTGAATGGGTTTTGTATAAATATCATCAGGTACTAACGGCTGACGAAATGAGTCAACACAGCTTCAGTCAGACTGACGAACACCAACTTTTTTTTATTTTACCACTTTAAAGTAGCGGAGAAACACTCTTTCTAGCCTCTGAAATGTGAAGATTTCTTCAGGTTTTCAAATGTTGGTCGGACATTTGGAGACGTCAGCTCACAGTTTTCTGACATTTTACAGACTGAACAATAACAATACTGAAAGTGAACAATTGATTAATCAAAAAAATGCCAATCGGGTTCATAATAATGAAAATAAACCCTAATTTTAGAAGCTGCAAACTGAGAACCGTTGGGGTTTTTTTTATGGTGATCAGCCACCAGAGCCGTATTGAATTTTGTCAGCTCAAGATCTTTTTCACAGCTTTTCTTACCCTACTATTTCTGCTGAGAAAAAGGTCCATTATCTTCTTTAAACCAACAGTTTGTAGATGTTTAAAGCCGAGTTCTGTCTCAGTGTGTTTGCATAGTTTAGAAAAGGACAAACGGACAAAAAACCCTGCAAACATCCACAGTGTAAATACAGTCGGACAAACAACTGGAGAATATATCAGTTTCTCGCTGCAGTTATTTGCCCTATCTCGACCCCTCAGTCCCTTTGTGATAAATATAAACGCTCTGTAACAAACCACACTGGTGTTTTTGCACATTTCAGCTCATTAACTACAAATCCTTTCGGGGAGAAGGAGTTCACTTTCTGGTTTACGCTATCACTGAGCGGCGGTGTGTTCAAGGACACTTTGACATTTGATAGTCGCCCCCGTTGAACGTTATCCGAATGTCAAACACAGGATAAGGCGAGTGTAATCTTTTTCTAGCATTTGAAGAAGTTGTGGGACTCACAAAAGACAGGACGAAACAAGAATGGTCAAGATTTTTGTTAGTACCTATTACTCAATTTTCCGTCCTTTGGCGTCCCCCAAGGGACGATACTCAGGTCCCCTTTTGTTTAAACAACTGAGTAGGACTGAGTATGACTAGCAAACTGATCAAGACATTCGAATTCAAGTCAACATTATATTGTCATAATTTTCCCAGATATCTACAGATCCGGTGATTCTCACTCAGTGTACGTTTTTATTTGATTTATTTTAATTTTTTCTGCTCAGATAGTTCCTTGACTACAAACTAACTTTGTAGTAACTAACTAACCACGATTACTAGAGGGTTTTCTCTCTTCTATAATTAATTATTCAAATTAAAGGAGACAAAAACAACAGTTTGGTCTTACTAGTAGACAACAGTTTTAGAGGCTATTCAAACCTGTTTAAACCTGTAAATATTATTAAGATGAGACTTTGAACGTGTCATTGTAAATAGCTCCGACATCGGGGGACACACTTTTATTTTCACCTATAATCTTGTGTTTGGCCTGTTGTTGTCTACAGTGTTTTTACAGATTAACACGCTGAACCTTGAACTTGGGTATTACAAATATTAAATGATACCCAGATATTGATCGGATAAAGTGTAGATTTGTCTTTAGTTTCCTCCCAGAACTGAAACTAAAGCTGCTTTGTAGTAAATGAGCTAACGTGTTCAAAGACAGGGTTACGGTTGAATATAATTTCTATAAATGAATCCGTCCTCAGTCAGTTCCTGCAGCCAATCTCCTCCTTGTAGCGGGTCGTTAGCGTGTTAGCCTTGCGCGTCAGTTTGGACAGAACCGAGTGGAGTCCATTCAGGTGGAAATGAAACTCTTTCTCCAGGTCGTCCTCCGTCACCGCCACTGCCTCCGTCGACACGCCAGCCTTCTCCTTCCGCCGCTCGTCGCCCTGCAGGACGCCCCATTCTATGTCATTGCGGATGGACTTGAGCAGCACGTACGAGCTATACATGTCGGCGTCCTGCTGGAAGTAGCCATTGGTGGCTGCGGCACCGTTAGCGGTCCTCACCGCCTTTGCGTCCTCTGCTTCGTCCAGCGGGACGTCCCGCAGCAGGCTGGGCACCATCACCGTCTGGTCCATGTTGTTGACGGCGCCAATGAAGCGTTTCATGGCGTTGAAGAGCGAGTTCTTCTGGTTGTAGGATTCAGATATCTGCATCATGGCGAACAACCTGAAGTGAAGTCGCCGCTGTCACAGTCCAGGGCCAAAGTTAGCCCGCTAATGCTCTTTAGAGGATTATTATGAGGCTGCAGCCAGATCCCAGGTCAGGTCTTAACTGGACCAGGTTACACAGGTACACTCACCATGTCCTCTTGGATCAATGAGCTGGTTTCCTGGTTATAAACGGGTTGCAGTTTGACCCCGACAACTTTGTGTCCCTGCTAAGCATGGAGGGCGTCTGTTGCTACAGGACGCCGGCCGACCGTTTCACCCCAGAGGTCAAATAACAACCTGAAATACAACCACAGAGAAAGAGAGAGCTCATTCATGTAGCTTTAAACAGAGGGAAGAAGAGGAGGAGGAGGAGCTAACAGACGCTAACAACTTTAGCAGGAGAGCTAACATCACCAAAATTAGCCCAAACTCACATAAAAGCTTTAATATTGTTCCTGCTCAAATTAAACTCTCCGGCTGGATTTCTTTTTTGGTCTTTACACATAATGTTCATCACTATTTTATTTTGAAAAACCTGGACTCGGCCTATGGGCCATATTATGTTATACTGTCCGAAATAATAACAATTTTAAGGAGATAAATGTTAATGTCTCACGAATCACAAAGCAATGGTTAACTGCAGCAACTTAGCACTAACTAGCATGCAAACTAAATGCTAAATCAGCGCTAACTACAAAGAAAAAGGGACATTTCTTCTAGCATCAGAAGTATAAATGAGGCATAAAACAAGCCAACAGTGCTCTCGCTGGCACACAAACATCTGCTCTGTGAGTTTTAAGGAGCTAAATGAGTCCAAGAACCACAAATGAATTAGCACTAAAAGAGTTTGACTACAAACTATCAGGTTGTATAGAAATTAGCAGGCTTGGGAAGTAACTGATTACATGCAACTTATTTACATTCTCTGTATACAAAAAAAGATAATAGTTAATAAAAAAAGACTGAGTAAAAATGGGGATTAACAGGAGGATTACAATTTTAATCTTTCTATAGATACAGGGCAGAGGTCACATTTTTCAGTTCTTCCGTTTCCTGTCTAATGTCACATTGTTCTGTCATCGTATACAATAAACTTAGATCAGGACTTCTTTGTTCCTTTTCCTGGGCTTCATTTGCATATTCGCTGCTGAGGTAATCCAAATGTAACGGAAAGTAATCCAGTTACTTTAATGTTATCATACCCGTTACTGACTATACTTTTCAAGCAGGTAATTAGTAACTGTATTGGATTACATTTGAAAGTATGCCTGCCAACCCTGCCTCTATCTGCTAGCATCAGCAGGCTACATGCGGCTACCGCTATTAGCAAATGGAGCTCCATCCACATGCAGAGTTCCCGCGGAATAAACGCGGTTTATTAACGATAGAAAACAGCTGGAAGAACGCGGCGACAACTCTCAGGGTCTCTACGGAAACTGAGAAGGTGCATAACGGATGTTGATCGAACGAACACACGAGAACGTCCGATAATGGATGTACTGCTGAGGCTAAACACAACGCAGCTCAAATTTAACGACGTTCAGAAAACGGGAGAAAAAGCCGCGTGCTTCCGGGTGTTCTTCCCGGCGGTTACTCTGTTTAACTCTCCGGGTTCACCGGGAATTAACCGACAGAAGCTACCCTGACGCTCTCGACCCACTCGGCTAATTCCGGGTACCGTTAGCCCCCCCCCGCCCCCGCGGTGGCGTTCACGGACACACCTCCGCGGTGCAGGCGGCCGGTGAGCTCACCGTGTGTCCGGTGTTGTTGCTCCGTCGTGTCGGTGCCTGAGCCGTTCAGTCCGTTAATCCGCCCTGGATGGATGGAGCACCGGGTGTGTTCGGTCGGAGCAGCCGGGGAGCAGCAGGGCGTGCCGGGAGGAGGCGGGGCGAGGATTAGCAGGAAAGACCGAACCTCCGAGACAGCCAATCACAGCGAGGCATGCCCCTGCGACGTCACGTGGAACGTTGGCAAAATGTTCCATTGTTTACAGAACGTTCCATCGGTTCTGTTGGTTCTACTCATTCATTTCTATTTGTTTGACTTATTTATCTTTGATTTTTGTTGTGTCATTTTATTTAACTTTTAAATGGATTTTTTTAAATATTAATTTCATTCTATGACGTTTACAGTAGAAATGCACATTGTATAATGAAATGTTCTGGATGTTTATATTCTTGTTGTTATTAAAGTACTTTTTAAGGTTGTATTTTATGTATGTTTTCAGTATAAGTTACATACACAGGTCAAATTCATAGTTGCTCTAGTATTTATTTATTTTTATTAAATTGAATGTATTTTTCGTTCTGCCTGTCACATTCTCGTTAGTCTTGTAATGAACTGATTTCATGTTCTAAAATGCCTTACATATGGCCTAATAAACAACAATTTAATTAATGTATCATTATAATTCAAACAAGATGATTTATTTATTTAATTGCAATATGAATTATGACTAATCTGTTTACAACATGGGAACATTTATATATAGATTTTATAGACTTATAGATGAAATTGAATTCGCTTTCCTCTCCTAATCTAAACTTTTTATGATATTCAATGGCATCTTTGGTATAATAAAAGTCATATTATTTGTTATATTGTGATTTTACACATTTTCACATCCTGAAAATAAGCAGAACATCTCATTTAATTCAATTTAATTATTTTAATTCAGCAAACCTCATTAAAGGCAGCGTTATTTTTGTTTTAATTTTCAGATTTTTCTTGTTTCTTTTTTATTTAATTTATTGTCTTTAGTTTCCTGAAATAGTTTCAGTGTTTCCTGTTTCCTTGTGTTGGTGAGACACCGCCCCCCGCTGGCTGTTCATCAACATTAGTTTCCATATTCAGGTTCAAATTAGTATATTATTATTATTTTAGGCCAAATTCAATTCTTTACTCTAAAGATCAGATTATTTACTCATGTTAGGCAAAAACTAAATGAATTAATAACTTTGTATTTCATATTTATGTATTTATATTAAGATTTGTATTAATTGGAGTTTTGTTTTTTACCAGATTTGTGTTTTATTCATCTATTTTGTCCATTTTAAAGGTATAAAATAGAGTGAGAGTCACTGTCACAGTCATTATAGTTGATACATTTGTTTCAAAAAAAACATTTTTAAGACTGGATGGGTCATAATTATATTAAAGGTAACATATATGACATTATGTCAATACATATATGTATTATATCAGCAAACAAATATCAGCTGTGATCGGTGAATTAAGGATGTATTTTGACCAAACCAGAGTTGGGGATTGTTTAAAGTGTGTTTTACCTGTGAGGTAAATTTCATACTTTTGTCAATGGAGCCTGGTTGGCTGTATTGTTTTGGTCTGAGAGGCTGGTGCTCTAGTGACATCGAGTGGAAAATGAATTTCACACATAAAATCTTTAATAAAACACTTTTACTTTATAGGAATTAAACAATTATAGATGTTTAATTATAGTTATATTATATTGAAAATTATAAATATCATTAATAATTATAATATTATTAATTGAATATATTTAAATGAATCAGTTAATTGTCAATTTATAATTGACTTTATTTATGAATTGTCAACTTTATGAATATAATTATCTTCAATATATAAACCTTCAACATTATTGACTGAAATCTTAAGTTTTTATCTGTGATCAGATGAAGTTTTACAGTTTTAACACACATCTTCACTCCCACTGAAAAAACATTAAATTACTGTGAAATTATGTGTCACATACATTTGTTTTGGACGCCGATAGGACAAAACACTCCTAACAACCTGACAAACATCAATGCAATATTATCAGTGATAACACATGGTGCGTTCAGGGGCCTCTGGCTCAGAAATTGGTCCCTAAAATGAACTCAAATATATCTCAACTCAACCTCTAACATGGTCTTTATCAGACTTTTAAATCAAAATGTACAAAAAGATTTTAACTTTTATATTTACGTAAATATATTATATTTATGTTTCCATGGTTACTCCATACAGAAAACACATCATCAACAAAATAAAAACAACAGGAAACGTTTCAGATTGGCGCCCTAAGGTGGCACCATGACATTATTCTCAATTTATTTACTATTAATTATTAATTATTTCTTGACCTGAACCCACAAAAGAGTTTCATACAAAGGACTAGAGTTCATCTTCATGAAAGTGGCAAAAAAAACTAAACGATTAAAGCAAATTCAGCCAATCCGCATTCATCCTGTGTGACCTTGTAATTCGGTCCAATCACCGCAGCTTTTCTGCAACAAACTATGAGAGATTTTATTCTCACTGAAACAAGTTGCCTTCCATTTCTTTAATGAATTTGACCAAAACAATGGCAACTATTTTTTTGCAGAGCATCAGCATCATAATTACCTGTGGGGTTCCGCAGGGTTCTGTGCTCAGTCCTCTACATTTTTTACAAAAAAGCTTATATGTAACATGCTTGTTTGTTTTTCATGTAAAAATGACCCATATTTTACAAAAATCATGTTTTTTTATGGTTTGGCTATATTTCGGCATCTGAAACTACGTGTTGAACTGATTTATCTTTTTGTCCACTTGGGGGCAGCAACGAAAACCATGTGTTGATGTATGTATCTGCAGTGAAATCTGACATTTTAGGCCACAACAGAAAACAGAAAAAAATGAATCCTGGAGTGAGAAACAAAGAGCAGAGGGCAAAAAGTCTGAGAAATTCAGATATTTCAATAAATACAAGAAGAGTGTGGGTGGGATTCGTGTTTATACAAGATGCTGTGTGTCTCTCCCGGAGTTTACATGGTGACCTACATCGTCTCTTTTCTGTAAGAGAAAGAAATAAAAGGAAAAATGAGCAGACGGAGGAGATGAACAACGAGAGTGAAAGTGTGTTTGTGTTACCTGTCAAACCATCTCGTACTGGTTGGCGTTGATGAAGCGAGACAAGCAGCATGCCAGAGACATCCCGATCAACTGAGACAGACAGATACAGAGGGGTTCATTTTCAATGCAGGACTTTGTATAGTGTCGTATTTGGTAGTATTCAGTTTCATTCTGTCCAGATTGTGTGTCATACCTGAGAGAAGGCAATGCCAAAGGTAACTCCAGCGATGATTCCCATGTTTCCCTCTATGAAGGACGTCACCAACTCATAACAACCCTGCGGACACAGGTCACAGGTCACCATGCTAACAGACTGAGGCTAAAGCTAACAGGTCCCAGGTTATGATACCATGCTAACAGATTGAGGCTAAAGCTTCCCACCTGTTTGTGGACTTTGCGAGCAGCCAGAGTTGCGTTCTTCAAGTCAGATGAGCTGCAGTCAGAGAAACTAACACAGCAGCTGGCAGGAATCCCACTGACCGGAAAATACACACTGCTGAACCAGCTGGTGTAGTTATAAACTCCACAGCAGTGTAGCTGCAAAGGGAGAAAGAAGATTGTCACATTGTTAGGAATACATTCTGGTGGGACAGGATGCCAAATTCTTATTTGTATTTGCCAAAACTACTTTTTGAAGTGATGATACATCAACACACAAGTGCACAAAAAAATAAATCTATTCAGGTTTACCCACATAGCTTTAGTTGCCAAAATACAGTCCAAGCCTAAAACACTCACATGAAGTAAAACAAAGGAACTAGCATGTTCCATATAAGCTTTATTGTAAAAAATGTAGAGGACCAATCATAGAACCCTGAGGAACCCCACAGGTAATTATGATCGTGTTGTGATCCTGTATGTGGAAGTAAGCAACTGTTTGCTTATATGTTAGCCAAAACTAATTTATAAGCCTATAATATGTCAGTGATACGTTTATAGGTTGTTCTTAATAAAGTGTAGTAATTAAATGAACCTGGGTGAAATACAATCAGCTTTAGTATTACATGAAGAAAAAGAGAGAGAGGTAAACTTACTCTGCGTTGAACACCGTCCACAGCCAGACTCCTGTCGTCTCGCCCGTCGTATCTCGTCACTGCTTCGCTGTACGTCGTGAGGAACGTCCCTTTAATCTAAACACACACACAGTACGCAGTCAGTATGAGCCGTGCTGTCGGGGTAAAAGTGTTGCCTGTGGTCTGAAATAACCTCGTGGCGAAAGACAAATCCAGAGATTCCAGCGATGAGTTCAGTCATAAAGACCAGAGACAGGAACGCGGCGTACTACAGAGAGGTCGGAGGTCAGAAGTCAGAGGTCAGGTTAATAAAGATTATAGTGAAGTTATACAGCTTGATATCATACTAACAGACTGTGGCTAAAGCTAACAGGTCCCTGGTCATTATATCATATCGTATATATTGACAGGGTATTTTTACAGTTTGGTATCAGTACTTTAACTTAGGTTAATGATGTGAACACTTCTTCCAACACTGCTCATAATCTGACAGACACAGACCAGTTTCAGCATCCAGGGGCGCCCCCTGCAGGTGGCGAAGCAGCCAAACAGTCCGAACAGCACGATGGCGACTCCGGTACCGGCGAGCACGTACGGAGCGTTGGAGGGGCCACTGGAGATCAGCAGCATGTAGGGGCCCAACATGAACTTCCACCACAACCCCACCGACAGCAGGACCACACCTGTCACCTGAGGGGGGGTACAGGTAAGACCGTCAGCCAATGAGGAGGCATTTAACCTGTGTGTGTGCGTGTGAGTGTGTGTGAGTGTGTGTGTGTGTGTGTGTGTGTGTGTGTGTGTGTTGAGCAGTGACTCAGTGTCACATGACTCTATAATGAACTCTGACAGTGAAGTGACAAACTGACAAACAGACGGGAAGAAGAGACGAGTCAGAGCAACAGACTGTAGTACACACACTACTGTATAAACTATATGTACTGTAATGTATATACTGTATATACCATATGTACACCTAAAAACAGGAGAAGCAAAACAGTATAGAAAACCAGATGAAACAATAAAGAAAATATAACAAAAAACAATTTTAAAAAAGTGGAAAAATAAAACAATATTCAAAAACAAATTTAAAAAACAGTAAAACAATAAATAATAAATACTTTTTGTGCAATAATTTCCTTGTTCAATAAAATATTCAGTTTATTTACATGTTTTTGGCGATTATTATGTTTGTGAATCTAAATAGTTAGAATTCATCCATTAATGTAAACATACACATACATACACACATATATATTGAGGTATTTACAGTATTTACACTGATACTTATTGATAAGCCATAAGGATAAACAATAACAAACCCACTATTTTTGACAAATAAAACATGAAATTAAACACTATCTTTATTTTAAAGCATGAACTGTGTTTTACCAATTCTGTCCGGTGGTTTGAAAATTATTGTTAACTTATATTTTGGAAGTTGACGTGATTAAAGGTGATTAAAGGTGATTAATATAACATCAGGGAATGTAACTTTAAATTTAACTCCAATTAATGTATCGTTATCGTATTGTGGATTAAAACAAACATTTGTTTATTTCTGAAAAGTTTACATTTCAGTTTTTATCTGGACACCCGTTAATGTGGTTTATGAGGACGTCAGGTTTGTTAAAGTTCGGTGCATCAGACCAGCTGAGGGATGAAAGATGGGATGCTGGAGGAAGATGAATGAAGGAGGTGTTTGATTTTGACTCCTGGTCGTCCCGCTGTGCCTGTGTGAGCGCTTCAAACGTAGTGTGAGGCTGTGATGTTGAAACGCTCGACGTCTGCCGGCGTTCAGGAGACGATAAGGAATAAAAGACATTGTTTGTGCAGCAGGCGACAGATTGTGTTTGTGAGACTCAAAAATCTAACTTCACTTAAGCAACAAATAACGTCTTTAAAATCCACAAAAAACTGTCTGACTTCTCAGAAAATCACCGCATTGAATATTGATCAAATATCAGTATGATTATTAAAGATACTAGTTTGTTCATTATTTGTCTAAAACCATAATGCACTGAGGTTGTTTCTTCTTTAGTAATAATTTCATTGTAAAAGGGTCAAAATGAAGAAAAAAATCAAACAACAAACAGAAACTTTAAGAAATCTAAATAAAAAACAATGAACATTTAAAATACAGACAGGACTAAACAGCAACCAGGACTAAACAGCAACCAGGACTAAACAACAACCAGGACTAAACAGCAACCAGGACTAAACAACAACCAGGACAAACAACAACCAGGACAAACAGCAACCAGGACTAAACAGCAACCAGGACTAAACAGCAACCAGGACTAAACAGCAACCAGGACTAAACAGCAACCAGGACTAAACAGCAACCAGGACTTAACAGCAACCAGGACTAAACAACAACCAGGACTAAACAACAACCAGGACGAGACAGCAACCAGGACTAAACAGCAACCAGGACTAAACAGCAACCAGGACTAAACAGCAACCAGGACGAGACAGCAACCAGGACTAGACAGCAACCAGGACTAAACAGCAACTTGGGCTCGGCTGCAACATCCTGAGCGACATCCAGAACTAGGCTACGATGTGGTCAGGCAGCAATCAGGAGACAACAGAGTCGATATAAGTTCTGAATGTATTGATTGTCTTATCAACGTGACTGAGATAATTTATTCGACTGTTACTGACAGTATTTCTTATTTTTGTCCGTGTTGTATTTTCAGAACTTCATTATCGTCTGTGTGTCACAGCTCCGGCATCCTCCTCATTCCTCAGTGCAGATAATTACTGAACCTACTCTGACAACTGACCTCTAACCTGTAACCTCTGACCTCAGCACTCCTCACTCCTGATATCTGACATTATATACCATGTTAGAAAGGATTTTAACTGTCACTAAACTGTAATATTGATGAATTTTTAGTATCATCATCCCAATAACTGTAAGGGGAAAAAAAGCTGATATGAAAATGTGATAAAAAAGATGAGTAAAACGTGTTTTCTCACCCAGAAGATGAAGGAGTAGAGCAGCAGCAGCGTCTTCAGACAGAAGATCACCGGTTTAGTTTCCATCCTCCTGGGAGCCATAATCCAACTGAAGACCAGGACTCTCTCTCTCACTGGGTCTCTTTAGTCTCTCCCCCCTCCTTTATTCCCGAGTCTCTCTCTCTCCTGCTCTCTCTGAAATTCACAACAATTCAGTAAATCTTGGAACAATATCAAAGTCAGTGAACAAATGACCAAACTGTCACTAAACACTGGCATAAAAACTGTGAAGAAAGAAATGAAAATGGTCCAAAAATTGAAACAAAAAGGGACAAAATGTCACAAAAACTAAGCAAAAAACAAAAAGCCTGAAATGTACAAAATTTGCACAAATTTTGGGAAACAGTGGTGTGAATATTGCACTAAAATTGCACCAAAATAAAACATATAAAATTGTACAACACAAATAAATACAACAAAAAAAATGCACATATTGAAACAAAAGAGCAAAAAAAGCACAAAAATCTTGGTGTTTGGAAAACAGAGGAGCAAATATTAAAATGGCACCAAAAAATTGTACAAAAATGGCAGCCGTATACGGGTGGGACCCGACTCACATTTGGTGCCAGAACACAGCCGACTGTACCGACAATCTGCCCGACGTTATTATTAAATTATCATTATTAAATAAAGATCTTACCTGCCAGTTCAGCAGTGGGCACTAATTTAATAATCAGCAAATATCGGATCGGTAATCCTCGGTAATGTCTGAATGTAAGAAACCCGCAGTGGCAGCAACGTTTCTACAGTCTGAATGAGACACGGCACAAACATGTGACCCTCATACTTCACACTCTGACCACACAATTTACAAGGAGGTGACCCTGGTGGAGTCCGGCCCGGTGTGACACCTCACCGCGAAGGTCCACAAACCCTCCCATCAGCCATCACTGCTGCAGCCAATCTATTCTTATTCTCTCTGATGTTCGCTATTCATCTGGAATTAAGTCCACAAACTCCACAGAGCAGCTTTAACTAACTGTCTTTGGCAGAAATAAACGGAGGGAAAGTCCAGAAAATCGATCCAAACTTTTATTTCATTCATTTCATATAACATAACAGTGATCAGTTAATTCACATATTTCATTTTGTGTGTATACAGCTGAAGTCTAAGTGCAGCACCAATCAGTTTATTACAGCTGTGAGGAGCTGAAATATTAATATTTCATCATATGTATCATTCATGTAAAATGTTTTATTCCCCGAGTGTTTTATGTAAAATAACCCGCTGCCTTTGAGCTTCAGTGAGAGACACCGTGTTACTGCTCTGACAGGCAGGAAACCAAACTGCGAGCGGATGTAGTTCCACAGATTGTCCAGTGAGTGTCAGTGGTGGTCTGCTCTCTCTCTGTGGGTTGACGTCCTAGACCTGTACAGACCAGGGCCTAAAGGTTCCGGGTTCTGCAGGAGGACACTGCAACAGAAAAACAGAAGGCGATACAGTATTTCCTGTGTGTACAGTAGCTTGAGTTCTAGGCCTCCTGGTGTTCCTCCACATTAGTACAAAGACTATGATACCATATGTATGATTAATTTGATCTGCTGATTTTAGATGAGCTGATAATACTTTCTTAATACTCTTAATACTTTCTTGTCAGTGCCCGATACTTCCTGAGGGGTGTCTCTATTAATAACTAAAACCAACCACGTACCAGTTTGGTGAATCGGTCACTGCAAGCGTTGCGGATCCTCTCGGCGGAAGCGGGGCTGTCTAGCCTGAAGGGGCCGCTGATGCCTGACTCCACCCGGGCGGCACTGATGGCATCTTTGATGGCGTAGAAAACCGACGCTGCCAGAAAGAGAGGAGGCTCGCCCACAGCCTGGAGAGAAAAGATTCCCGGATAAATGTTCTCTGTAGAAGCTGTTGTGTTTAAAATGTTCTCTACAGCGTCCGCGGCGTTACCTTGGAGGCGAAGATGGCTTTGTCATTCGGTGCGTCGCGGAGCAGTGAGACAGTAAGCTGGGTGGGAATGTCACCAAAGGCCGGGATCTTATAAGAACCAGGACCCCGAGTGAGTAGGACACCCTGGGGGGAATAATGAAGCTCCTCCAGGGTGAAGAGTCCCAGACCCTGCATGAATGCCCCCTCCACCTGAAGAGAAACAGAGACGCCAGAGGTCATAAAATCTGCTTTAGTTAGTTTTCCAAAGACTGATTCCTTTATTGATTGACCCACTTGTCCGATGTCTATAGCTGGGTTGAGGCTGTGACCGACGTCCATCACGATGGTGGTACTCAGGTTCTACAGTACAAACATAACATACAATAAATTATAATAAATATAATCTCCATAATATTTAACATCTTGTCGAAAGGTTGCAGCAGGTGAATGGATGTTTAATTCAGACTTACATTGGAGACATCTCTGTGTATTCAGTTTTACTGAATTAACTCTTCATAAGCCCCGCCTCTATTTGCTCTGTGCACCATTAACAGTTGAACAAGCCTCGGTCAACTTCCTCCTTTCCTGTACTTAGATATACTAATACTAATTTATATTAATTGTTCACAAACTAGTTACATTTGATGGCTAATGTTAGCAAAACACTGGCTTTTGCTTTGCTGAAATTAGCTTGAGATGTGACTGCTTGTATTCACTTTTATCTTTTAACCATCTTCAAAATGTGGTTGTCTTTTCAACATAGATTAGCCTAGCACATAGCATATCTAAGTACAGGAAAGGAAGTAGACCGAGGTTCCAAAAGGGGCGGGAATAAGGAAGGGTCAGTGCCCTTATGTGGATATATATGTCGACAGAGAAAGTTGTTTCAGTGCTTGCCTCGTTGAAAAGACAACCACATTCTGAAGATGGTTAAAAGATCAAAGCGACACATAATCACATCTTAAGTTAGCAAAATGTCTGGAGATCTTAAAAAGCAGACTGGGACTGGTTCCCAGTGGTGCCAGTTACCTACAAGATGGTATAATCGGCGTATAGTAAAGTATAGTAAAGTACATAACACAGGAGCCTAATATTGATCGTTGTTTCACATTTATTTTCGTAGCTGAACATTTCCTTCAATAAATACACACCCTGTGAGCTCCAGTCAGGCAGTCGATCTCCACCTCTGAACAAGCCACCCCGTAGCTGAAGTAGTTGAATGCTCGGCCCGAGTTCGAGTCAAAGTCATAACCGAGATCTGGAGTCCTAATGAGAAACAGGAAACGGTGAATAAAGTCTGTCTGGGACTTTATTTATCATCAGATTTACTGAACAGGCGACTCGCTCATTGAACTCACTTGTAAAAGCCATTTGCACTGAGGTTTACTCTGTCGAAATACGCTGCTTTCACCTGAAACAGACAGAAATACACTACGACCATTTAAAACTGGAAATGTGGACAGATTAAGTAATTATGGGATTATAGTAGCGACACTACTACAAGTACTACCATATATTCTTAATACTCCTGCTCACCCAGTCCTCCCATGTCCCTTTGGGGTTCTTGGTCTTGTACGGTTCCAGACGTTTCATGAGGGTCTCACAGGCGTTCTGCACGGCAGCTCCATTGAGGTCTGAGGAGGCGGAGGCGGCGGTTGGGCTGGTGTTGGGGACCGTGTTGGTGCTCGTCTCTGAGATATGAATCTTTGAACAGGGGATACCCAGAACCCTGCTGGCAACCTGGACGCAAAAACAGTTTGTAAAGACTTTTGTACTTAAGTACAGCATTTGTTAGCTTAAGTGCAACATTTATTAGCTCAAATACAGCATTAATGGCTGAACAAAAGGTAGGAAATCAAAATGTGAAATTAATGAGCTAAAAACAGCATATTGGTTCGTTAAGCTCAGGTACCTGGACCATCTTGGTATGGAGTCCCTGTCCCATCTCAGTCCCACCGTGGGTCAACAGCACCGAGCCGTCTGTGTAGATGTGAGCCAGAGCTCCGGCCTGCAGACACAAAGAGAATGAGATACAAACCATCCAGCATCAAACTGTTTGTTAGTCAGTGTTGTTGGGTCAGACCTGATTGAGGAAGACGGCGGTGAAGCTGATGCCAAACTTGGTGGGGACGATGGCGAGGCCTCGTTTGGTCCACCGGTTCTGTCTAAAATTAAAACACAGAAAGAAAACTCAACAGTTTTTACATTTTTATGCTGTCGTATTTTAACAAACTCCTCAAATTCATCTCTTAAGGCAGTGGTTCCCAATCTGTCAGTCAGGACAGTGTGTACGGTGTAGAACTCAAAATACCTCCACACGCTGCTACTCAGATATTTGGGGCTCTGATTCTCCATTCAGGACAGCTTTGCTCGCTACTGTCCACCATTTTCATAGTAAACAACATAACATTACTAGCTTAGTTAGCTTACAGGCAGGGCTGGACTGGGACAAAAAAACGGCCCGGACATTTTGAGCCAAGACCGGCCCACCAGGTCTTGATGGAAAGACCATGAAGCCTATGAATGAAAACAAACTTCTTGTGACAATGCTTGTACACTGTCTTTTTGGTGTATATGTACTTGTCTAATAATCTTAAACCTACACCATCCTCCCAGTGCCGTTATTCTATACAGTACTTAGCGGAAACCAAAAGGCTGCTTGGTCTAGTTAACCTCCTGAACAATGTAGTCGCACCGGCTACGGTCGCGGGTCCCTCCTACTCCTGCCTCCCCTTCTCCTCATCCACCTGATGGCCACCTCCGCCATCATTACCTGTGACTGCTCCGGATGCTGCTGCTGCTGAAGCTGAAGCTCCGCCATAGCCACCAGCAAACATCTGTGTTATTTTAACACATTTGGCAGCATCTGCCTGAAGGGCTTGTCTCTTTTTAGCTCTAATTTTTTCCGCACCTCCTTTCCGCTTCTTGCTGTTCTCCATTTTCGTGATCTCCTCTCTCTCTGTATGATTGATTGATTGACAGCCGAGGCCCAAGAGGGAGGGGGCATCGGCCCTCGGCTGTAATTGGTCCAGCCCAGAATCAATCATGACTAATGGGCCGATCTACCAGTTTTGTGTACCAATAGGTATCATGACTAATACCATTACTAATACTAGAACCATTAGTAAAAATTTAAAAAAAAATCACCATCGGCCCACCGGGCCTATGGCCAGTCCAGTGGTGCTTACAGGTCAGTAGGTCAAGCTGATGATGATTGAATTTGAAACAGGTCATTAAAGTTTAAAAAGAAAGTTAGTTCCTGTTGTCGGACAGTTTTTACCAAAACCATAAATCCCGGCTCTGGGACCTTCCATTAGATTGTTTTTACTTGTTGTGCTCAACAGTGCTTTTACCTGTTGTAGAGGTCCACGGCGGCTCTGCGTTCCTGGTATACGGAGCGTGACAGGCACTCATCCCAGCAGCGGTCCAAGGTGAACTGATCCAGGATCTGGTTGTAGGGTGTCAACTCCCCTTCCACATACAGGTTCAACCGACGCACCTGCAAGAGGACGGGGTCACTGACTGGACACTACTGACCAACCAGCGTGTCTGACTTTATTCATCCACCTACATACCTCCTCAGACGGCTTGCCCAGACTCTGCGCCACGTCGTTCATCCAGCTCTCGGTGACCATCATGCCTTGTGGCCCTCCGAAGCCCCTGAAGGCTGTATTGGATGGCAGGTTGGTGCGGCACAGGTAACCGCGGCCACGTACATTGGCCACGCTGTACGAGTTCTCCATGTGGAACAGAGCTCGCTCCAGGACCTCAATGTACACAGACAGGTGATAACATCAGTACGTCATCAGCATATAGTGTCATATTACTCAGTTAGTAAAGATACTCACTGATAGAGAGAGGTCCATGGAGTTTCCTGTGTTGCTGTAGTACGACACGTCCAGAGCCACGACCTTACCACTGTTTAGAAAACCCACCTGGAGCAGG